ATAAGCTTATGTTTTATACAGAAATACATAAATATCTACCATAATATTCAAATATTTACTGAAATGTACGTCCTGGAACATTTTGAATTTCCCGCTTCTTGCGACGTTGCCGTTACGTTTTTGTCGAACTATTATTTAATTTTTTTATTCATAAACTAATCAGACGATCGTCATGAAACTTTTTATACATATAGTTGATAACATTATCTGTGACATATAAAAAAATTGGAGACATTTATCACGCCAACTTTTTTAAAACCGAGTTTTTATAAGTTTCCCCATAAGCGACCGTGTTAAAATGACTGAACTTTGAAATTCAATATCTTGGAAACGAAACAGACGAACCTCTTGAAATTTTAACAGCTTCATTGTAACAGCAACAAGAACGTCTGGTTAAAATTTCAAAGAGATTCATCACAGGGTTCTATCTCTACCGAACGTCCTTAAATTTCTAAATTTTGTAAAAAAAGTGTGAAGTGTATATTATTGCTACAACATTTATTTTCTTAATTCAAACATTTTTTAAAAATTTGTCCTCGAAGATTTACAAAAAATGTTCATGCACGTAAATAAAGTTCCAACTGGTTAAAAATTCTTTGGAATTTCACTCTATCTTCTTAAAAGTCCACCAAGCTTTCTAGTTAAATATTTTTTCTTGTGTCCATTCCAATGAAACTGACCTTACATCACATAAATTAGTCAACACATTGAGAGTACCCAATTTCTAGTAGAATGAGCTCTATAAATACCGTATTTCTCCCAATTTTTATAATAATTTAAAATATCGTATGCAATGCATGACAAAAACTTTTTTAAACATTTATTTTTCCATTAAGGGGGCATAAAATAAATTAAAAAACACAAATTACGTAATTGAATTTATGGATCAACGCAAGGCTTTTCCTTTCACTCGCTCAGAAGTTAATACGTCACGTCCACGGGAAAATTCGGTCTCTCATTGAAATATCAGTGATATAAATCAGAGATTTGACCTTTAAAAAAAACAGGATCACCTAACATTCCCCTTCTTTGTGCTTGAGTGGAAAAAAGGGAGGGCGTTGAATTCCGCGTCAGTAAAGAATCAAGGTGAGAACAAAACGGAGAAAAAAAGTCATCCCAGGGAGATAATTTTCAGTCCAGCTCGAGGAGGGAAAAAAATGCGAACGCGAACGAAGAAAGG